CTAATAGCGAGAAGAGGGGGTTATTACTATCTAGTAAGAGGTCTTTATCTATAACCTTATTTTTAGGTATAATAAATAGATCTTCTATAGCACTGCGTTTCTTGCGCGCTACCTTCTCCTCCTTTATAGTATATAGTGTAGCTAATCTTTTTTTAGCGGCTTTAAGCTTAGTATTCTCTATAGTAGATTACTTAGCTAGAAACTATATATATTCCTCTTAATAACACTTCTTATTCGCCTTAGCATGATAGTAAGGAGTAGGAATCTTAATATTGTCTTCCTCTTCTTTACTAGTTAAAGGGGCCTGCTTATACTTAGCTAGTAACTCTAAGGCGGCCTTATAGATAGTAAACTCCTTTTCTAAAGCTATAAGCGCGCTAGCCCTAGAGAATTCACCTACCTTCGCTATAGGCGTAGCACCTTTTACCTTACTTATCTCCTTTAATAGATAGATAGCTTTATTAAGCTTTTTCTACTCTTTAGTACTATCTAGCGTGTAGTTAGTAGAGGTAGTAAGCACCTTCTTAATTATACCTAAACTAGGTGTTTTCCTAGTAGCCTAGCTGCTTATTAGGGTAGCGCCACCCTACTTACTAGCCCGCGTAACGCTTCTACCTTAACTAGTAGACTTTATAATCTTACTAGTCTTTTTAGCTATTAGCGTAGCGGGCTTTTTAGTGCTAGCAGCCCGCATTTATCTTAATGTTTCTAGGCTAGCCCTCTTTTAGCGCTAAAGCTTCTTTTTCTTTAGAGTTATTATAGAATTACTATTCTTATTATCTATTAGCGGTACGCTATTACTACTACTACTAGCTACCTTACCCTTAATAGTAATATTCTTATCTACTATCTAGCTAGGGTATTACGGCTCTTTAACGTCGATAGGCGGGAGATTATACTACTTATATTAGTGAAGTCGAAGGGTATAAGCTAGTAAAGCACTTATAATTACGCGTATAGTATTAAGTAGCTACTCCTATATCTAGTAAGCCTTAATACTCTCCTTAAGCTATAAAAGTAATAACTATATAGCGCTTTTAGGCTAATAGGTTAACCCTATCTTTATATCCTCCTTAATCTTACGCTCTACGCGTAGCACCTATATATAAACTAGATTAGGGAAGCGCTCCGCCGCGTAAGCGGCGGTATTAAGCTACTTCTATATTATATTCTTAGGGGCGTGGCGCAAGTCCTAAATCTTAAATAAACTATTAAGAATCTTATTATATTTTGGCGGAATCTATAAGCATTTAGCTATTAAACTACTCTTATAGATACTATAAGCACCTACTAGAAGATAAGCTTTTTCTAAGCTATTACACCGTGAATAATATATACTAGCGTTTTAGAAACTATTCTTTTTATTATATACTACCTCCTTAAGATCTTTTAAGTATTAGAGATAATATAGCTTAGTAAGAGAAATAAGCGGGCTATATAAGTGTAAAGTAATATTAAGTTTATAGACCTATAAGTAAAACTTATATTAGTATACTACCTCGATATTATAATACAACCTTCTTACCTAAAAACCTTCTAAAGATATCTTACTATATAACGTAAAATTTATATATAAGAATTTAAAAAGGCAAGATGATAGCGTAATAACGTTAATACGAAAGTTTATTAATAAAGAGTAGAGAGAGGCGCGAAGGAGAAGGATTTTATAGAATACTTTATTTATATATATAGGAAGATAATAGTTATAAGACTATAGTAAGCGTAGCGATTCATAATTCTTAATATTATAAATAGTAATACTTTTATTACCTTCTACTATATACAAACCGCCGCCTATAACCTACCTAGTAGCTAGTATAGAAATATATAACTATAAGCTAATAGCATTTTACTATATTAAATCTAGTAAACTAGCTTATAGAAAGGAAGGCAACTATTATAACCTAGCTAAAAGAGAGCCTTAGTATAGTATTAAGCTATACCATACCTAGCTTATTACTAAGCTAGATATTATAACTCCGCCTCCTTAGTATTCTTCCTATGTCTATAGATACCTACTATCTAATAGACAGCAGGCTTTAGTCTTTATATATAATACTAGATACTATTTCTTAACTACTATAGAATATATCTTACTACTAGTAATTACCTAGCTTGATACTATCGAGCCGCTAGCTACTCACGTGGATACATTAACCTACTAGCCTATAGATCTCGATAAGAGAACTTAGATTATTAATATTAAGGGTTATATCGCAAACTATTAGAATAACTTACTAACCCTAATTAATGACGCGCTAGATTAGCTTCTTAGAGGTACTTAAATAATAATATATTCGGCTATTCTTTTTAAAGTAGAGGTACAAGCCTTATAGAAGGTAAATTAGGCTGTAAGTAGATATTAAAAGTAACAAAAAAGACGCGTATAAAAGGGAGAGACCCTAATAGCTTAAGAAGAGCAGGATATACTTACTTAGATAGCTATTAAGTAGCAAATTAACTAGAAAATATAATAGGGTAGTGTATAGCCGAAAAGAGCTAAAACTAAGTAATAATATTGTAGGATATACGGTGAGACTGGTTATAACGCTTATATATAATAAAAGGATTAGGAAGCTATAACAGAATAGAGCGTATAATAGAAATAATCGATTTTTCTTAGTGTAGTGCTAATAGTTAGAGAAGATGCTGTATTATTACGCGCAGGTAGCTAACTCGCTTGTCTAGCTAACTTGCTTATCGAGTATATTATAGAAAGATACTACTAATATATTCAAACCACTTATTAAGGCGCGTTAGATTATGAGTGATGTATTAACTATAGTGTTATATAAAGAGCTATATACAAATAGAAAGATATATTTATAAATATAGAGTTGGATTTACTTAGTAATCGGCTTCTTATTAGTTATCTAAAAAGATAGAAATGATAGTAATCTAGTGAAGCTATAATACTAGATCTCTCTAAACTAGCTTCTTCTTCTTAAAGTCTACATGCACTTTATTAATCGGAACTAGAAGAAACTCTTAAAAGAACTTCTTATTCTTTATATAATAGTAAGCTATAGTAGAGAAAAGCAGTTCGCAACTCTCTTTCTAGTTCTTTAAAATTATAGAATCGTATAAAAGCTTAGTTCCATTATTTACAATAACACTACTTCAAATAATACGCTTTACCGTATAGTAAGCGTCTATCTCTAAGAGAAAGAGGAGATTGAGTGGGATTCTATATATAAGCGGATCCGCTATACTAGTTATATTATTAACTTAGCCGTATAGGCTTTTCTTTTCCAGAGTCTAATTAAAATAAAACAACTTAAGTCGTACAATAAATAAGAAGAAAAAGAAGAAGTAGGAGATAAGATGGAGAAATAGGCAGCTTTTTGAGCTATAGGGCTACTTAGTAGGCTATATAATATCGTTGTACACATGCGTAGTTCTATAAGTTGTACGAAGGAGTCTAAAGGTCTAGTAGGAAGAATAACCCCACTCATTAACTATATAAGATAGAATAGCTAGTATTAGATGCTAGCTATAGCTAATTAAAAGGCAGGAGCTATTAACACCTACTTAAAGAACTATTTTACCACCCTCTAGGCGGAGTATCTCTCTCTAAAGGACTAGGATCGTCTTTGTACGATTAAGGTAACGTGAACGGCAACCGAACGACTCAGGTAAGCCTTACCTGAGTCGTTCGGTTGCCGTTCACGTTACTCGTATCGGTGTCTTCTCAGCTGAACTATCGTTTTTCACTGCGCCTGGGCAAGCAACGTGGCTGAATATGAGTGATTCTAAAAGTAAGAAGTTGCACGCCAGGCAGTTTCCAGACCCCCACTACTCGTGTTTGACGAGAACAACCAGGACAGTACCCAGGGAGTGAGAATTCCTGTCATCAAGGCTCGTAATTGTGGGGAGACTGGGAGTGGAGAATGGCCGAAACACGAAGGCAGACAGCATGCAGGTTGAGCTGCAAAAGATTGTCCTCGCACCACATCATTACTCCTTTGCACCACGACAAAGTTCTCCAGGATGAGTTATGCTATCCAAGAGCCATGCTGCAAGTCAACTCCACTCTTTATTATCTCTTCCTCCCTCCTTATTTTAGGGTATGAGACTATGGTTCGCGCATTCGGAGTCGGCGTTAGACCATTGAGAAGCGAGCTCACATGAGTGAGCCCGTGTTGGTGATGGACCGTTGTCCTGTGGAACCGACAGCTGCACCCAAGCGTGAGTAGATGAAATGCGATTCCCAGATGATGGTGAAGCCGGGCGCTCTTGACGCCATGGGAACTGACCAATGAATGGCCTTTGCGCTCGGCATCCTCAGAGAGTGCGGGGTATGGTTGCATCCCAGCATCTGAAAGACTAGCTTGACCAGCATATGCCAAAACAATCGTGTGCCCCTCACATTCTCAGCACCAAACACGAACTTTGGAAGATGGAAATATTACTCCGGAAGTTCGTGCCGGTCGAATCTCTGAATGGCGGTTACGGCTACCCCATATTCCAAGGCAGTGTGCCCGTATACTAGTATATCTCGTATGCCGTTTGCCTCAGATCTCGATCCTTTGCGCTTGCCGAAGCTCAAGCGGAAAAAATAATAATTCTGGATGGCTTCGCATCGGCCCATCGAACCTTTGAGAACCGTCGTGAGGGCCCGCCAGTGCCTAGTCTTTCGGAACAGGCACCCTCGGGTTTGCGCACGATGCATCTGTCACCAACGGAGTAATGGTTCTACAGATATAGCAGAAAATGTGACTGGTCAATCGCCGATCCAAGCTCTGCTGACCGCCCTTCGCTCAATTCATGGTCTTTTGTAGCGAACGTATCATCGTCTTTATGCATTCCAAGACTCCAAAGAAAGTAGCCATATCGCGGATCCAGGACTTCCCCGCTCTGTCAGAGTGTGCTCTAGGCAATCGACGTAGCTTTTAATGCTGCGGCTCCTCAAGCCTCGTGCGGAAGTTCAACTTCCACCATATATATTCAATCTTGGTTGATCTCTGTACCTACTCTGGCCCTACATTCGGGGAGGCACGATGGCGAATGAGCCCTACGACTACACGCCCGTCGACGTGCTCAATATTATGGAGCCGGGTCAGTCAGAGACGATTGATGACCTCCTAGACCGCGGCAAGACGCAACGAGTACAGATCCTGATCGGCACGGAGAACCCTCAACGGCTGAGGCAGATTCCGTATGCGCACACATGAGTCCGGATTACGTTCAACAATGAAGAAGCCCTGCGAGAGTGCGTCCGACTGCTGCGCTGGTCGGACGAACGGCTTAGAGCCCGCCCTGAACAACTAATACTTTGGGACTGGGGTAAATCCTTCCGCGAGGGAATGGCAATCAGTTTCGGGGTGAATTGGTACGACCGCAACTTCTTCGAGCGTCGTCGTGATGCATTCACGGAGCCGAAGCATGCGGCCTACTACCGCCGCTTTGGCGCGGTTCCAGAGGACTTCGACATAAAGCACTTCGTTGAAGGTGACCCAGGCTTCGACGAGGAAGTGGTGCACCACCGGGAGCCTCCAGCCAACGCTTTGATTCCCGTCTCAGAGTAGTTCGACTTCGTGTGGCGCGGCATCATTCTGGCTCGCTACTTATAGCGATTCGGCTCACGAGCGTCCTTTTGTCACGGCCGGTGAACACCTGTACTTGGAGGCCCTTGCGCCGCTTCCTGATCATGCCTGGCTAGACACGAGATGATGGGGAAAAATTCAGAATGCTTGAGTTCATTTGCAGCTGTGCAACTCTAGTCTAGTAGGGGAAAACGGCTTAGGTTTAGAAATTCAACTTCAAATTATTTCACCAAGATTGATGTCAATCGGCTCACTATGCTCTCTACTATCCTAGTACCTTCATATATTGCGTCTACAAGTGTTGTACCGCTCACAATCTAATGGTGAAGTTGGCGTCTCGAGGGCGTTTGGAAGAGGAATGCCAGCCCGTGTTGGTGATGGACTACAAGCTAAGTGCGTGACTCAGCTGATTGCACGTGAACAAGTAATGCCGAGTGAGTGGTCGGCGCCGACCACTCTTATCCGGCTTTCGCCCCTCTGAATATACACCACTTGCCATCCCAAAATCGCCCCTCTCAGAATTTACTCCCCTTAATCCTGCATTTGAGAATAATATCACCTTTTTGTTGGTGTTCTTGTCTGTGCACACCCTGTACACGTGACGGATCAAGAGTTAATCCGGCTCCATGGTGATATTGTTTTCAAATGCAGGATTGCATTCTAACCCTTGTAATCTTAGTCGTTATTCTCGGTGACACCCAACTGGCTGCCTGCATATAACTCTTTATTTTACACACTCTTATACATCTTTCCTCCGCTTGGATTTGGAAAACCCCCCCCCCGACAAGAACCACTACAGTATTGTGCTGCCCGCCTGCTCATCCGCGATCGCCGCATCGCCGTCCTCATTCCAATCTCCGTCTTCGTCCTCGTCGTTTAATCCAAACGACTCGCGCAAGACTTGTCTGCTGATGCGATAGCCAACCCAAAGTTCGCCTGGATACCCACCTCTTAGCCCAACACAACCGCGCTCTCCCGCTTCATCACTCTCCGCATCCTCTCTAATGGCCACGTCCTGTCGCTCTGGCCGTCCTGCCTCATAGTCTTGCTCTTCGTACCATCCTAGTCCATATCGAGGATTGCATAATCTCTGAGCACTCAACGCCTGCCAGTGTGGCCAATAGTCAGTACTACGGTTGGACTGTTGTACCGACTGACTGCCAAGAGCTCAGTCAGTCCGTCAGTCGAAGGAGGCGGATTTTGGACAGTCAGGCAGTCCAAAAGTAGGCTGCTGACTGAATAGACTGTCGGACTGTCTCAAAATCGACGAAGAGGAGGAGATTCGTGGTGTTGTAAATTCGTCCCCCTAAGGTGGGCGCCGGCGGGCTGGGCGACTAGTACTAATTTAGTGTAATTCGCTAAGAAAACGAACCATTCGTTCGAACGGATTAGCAGCTACACTAGAGGACGCGTTTATCCTCGACGCGACTTGCTCGATCACGTCTACCTCCTCTGCCTCCTCTGCCTCCTCTGCCTCCAATCAACTATTCAGCACTCCAGAATGTCATCCAGCAGCGAGCCCTCCGACCAGCCAACAGCTCCTACATTGGTTATTAAGGACCCAGCATCGCCCCGGTCGCAATCACCTTCTGAGTCGATCGAAGCTGAACAGCTATCTCGAGACCCGCCATCAGAAGCCGACAACGTGTCTTCTCGCTTCGCTATTGACTGGCAATCGCTTCGAAACAATGGCCGCCTACTTACAGGCCAGGTTGGCTGGAGGATTCGCAATAAAAGACAACAGGGAGGCGACGGAAAGGTGTCACCAATATGGCAGCATGGTGCAGATCTGCTTTGGACGCCACCAGGAAAGTCAGCGAGGCGAATATTCCTCTGTAAACGCTGTCATCTCGCTCGATGTCATCGGTCTGCAGTCTATATAATCAACGGGACAGCGCATATTACTCAACACCTTACAAAACAACATCGAATTGGCCCCGATGGCCTAGCACTGCCAGTACTACCAACAGTAACGAAGCCTCGCTCTCCCTGTGACTTTAACCGTCTTCGCGTGCTAGATGACGATTTTAACCAGGATTTCTTCTCTTTGGCATACCCCGATTGGGTTTTGAAGCAGAACATCAGTTGTAGATCAGCTACTTCCGAAGACACGCAGACGCTCTTTGAGATAGTGAGGCCTGGCATTGAAGTGGCGATGTACAAGAGCCACAGCAGCCTGTCGAGCATTATCCAGAAGGCGTACAAAGAGCGTCGTCTACAGATTAAAGATCGAATACTCACCTCAAGGAGTCAAATAACGATCAGCTGCGACGTCTGGACCTCCGACAACTGTATGTCTCTCCTAGGAGTCGTCGCTCACTTTGTCGACAGTGACGGTTGTCGCAAATCAATCCTTATTGGTCTACCTCGCCTGATTGGCCATCACGATGGCTATAACCTCGCAGATACGCTCGACAAAAAGGTCTTCTCTCAGTACGATATAGCTAACAGGATTGGCTTCTTTATGACGGACAACGCTAGCAATAACGGGTCAATGATTGAGGAGCTCCAGCGGCGGATTCCTACGTTGAATCGGAGGTGTCGTCTGCGCTGCGTCGGCCATATATTCATCCTCATTGTCAAAGCAATGCTGTACGGCAAAGGCATCACCGAATTTGAGAGCCAAATCATCGGCTGTAGCGACCGCGATTACTTCGAGCTCTGGAGACGCTTTGGGTCGATCGGCAAGATCCACAACTTCGTGAAGTGGATCCTTCGTTCCACACAACGACGAGAGAAGTTCCACACAACGACGAGAGAAGTTCTGCGCCAATCAAGTGACATTGATGAAGGAGGAGGAGGAGGAGAATCTCTTTAGTTGGGTAGAGAAGATCTTGCTTCCTGACAGTGGAGTACGCTGGAACTCGACTTTTGTGATGCTACAGCGAGCGAAGCTGCTCCGACGCGTGATTGAGTGGTACCAGATGACGCACGAAGCGGAGGACAGTGAGGATGACGTTGGTTACGGTACTATTCAGGACAGGATTACAAAGGAGGACTGGGAGGAGGTTGATCTATTCCTCTCAGTACTTCAACCTATCGCCAATATCACCAAAGACCTTGAAGGTAACCCGGAGAGCTCTCAGTACGGAAGCCTATGGGCTGTTTTCCCTGCTCTGAATATGTTGACAGAGGTCCTGGATAACGCGATCGACAGCGTTAAGGATAAAGCGGACAGCTACTTCAGAAGCGGTATCCTTATGGCGAAACAGAAGCTCGACCAGTACTGGGACAAGATGACGCTTGAGACACCGGCTTACTTTGCCGCGACGATCCTTCATCCAGCTCTAAAGGAGGCGCACTTCAAAGATAAGTGGCGGAAGTACCCAGAGTGGCAAAGGCGAGCGAAGACTCAGATGGAGCGGTACTTCCAAGAGTACGCTGAGGATCTTGATAACGTGGAGGATGTCAGCGTTGGCACTCGATTAATAGTAGGAACGTCAGCTCCTATAGAGACTCGCCGCTGGTCGCTGAAAGATCATTTGAAAGTCGATAGGCAATATTCGTTGCACGGACGGTCTATAAAGCGACGGAAGCCTGAAAGCGAGTACGACAAGTATAAAGCAGATGACGATATAGGCTTAGACCTTATGGGCGACGATCCTCTGCCGTTCTGGCTGAAGCAAGCAAGCAAAGCGAACAATCCGTACCCTACGCTGACAAGAATGGCACTAGATCTCTGTATTCCAGCAATGTCAGCAGAATGTGAGCGAGTCTCCAGCCAAGCCGGCAAATTTGTAACTAGCGAGCGAAACAGACTGTCCGCAGCGACGATTGAAGCGAATAAGTGTCAGAAGTACTGGCTGCGACGATGTCTTGTATACAGCGAGCTTCACAAGCAATGACGACATACATCTACAATCTAGCAGAGCAGGGAGGCACAGGAGACAGGAGGAGCTGATTAGGCAAAATTTTGCTACGTGCACAGGGGAGTGTTGTTAAATTTACTACAAATCACTCCACCAAGCACTACACTAAGCCTTATACCAAGCCTGTATCACGCACTTCCTAATCGGGACAGTCCAACTGTATAGTAGCAGTCCGTAGCGCTCGGGTGGATAGTCGGGCTATAGCTAGACTAATTAGAAGCTTAGTCGGGCAGTCCTAATACCTCGGACTGCTACAGACTAACTATTAGCCACACTGCCTCTAATACATTCGAGGTAGCAATAAGAAAGAGGTGTATACTACCACAAGTGCACTATTAGAAAGAACAAGCAAGAATTATTTATTATTAATAGAACTTCTAAGGCCAGAAATCACCTAGAATAGAAGTACTAGATTGATTTCTAGAGTAGTATTAAGAGGAAGGGTTCTATATAGAAGTCTATAATTAACTAGTAGAAGGATACAGCTGCATCTAGTACTTTCTTCTAGAAGGACTTAGTTAAGAAGCTTAAAGAGCTTCTAATTCATTGGATTATATACTACTATATTACTTTCTTTTAATTAGAGAATTAGTACTTTCGTAAACTACTCTTCTTTTTAAATCTAGTACTACTTAACTACCTCCTAAAAGCAGCTAGAACTATTTAAAGCTAGGTAATAAATACCTTTATATTAAAGAAGTAATAGCTTAGGGAGAACCTATACTATTTATAGAGTAGAATCTCAATCTTTTTTAATCTCTAGACTTTACTAAACCTATATACTATCCTAGATGTTATTACTATATAGACTAATATTACTAATAAGCGATATATTACTATCTTAGGTATACGACGTGTATATAGCGAATATACTAGAGAGAATCTTAGATTAGTTGTTCTTAAATTACTAAAGAAATACAATATTATTAGAGATTAGATTAGATACTTTATACTAAATAATACCTCGTTAAATAATACCGCTATTGAATTCATACTCAAGGAGCTCTACTTATAGATAAGGTTAAAATAGCGTCGCTATCACTAGCTGTACTACTTAGACTATATTATTAACCTCTATTACTAGGCGTTCCTTATAGGTTAGAACTATGAGAA